GGCCTAGGGATAATGCTAATCTTTATAGGAATCTTAAGTTGTTGTATAAAGATTTCACAATTTAGTTCAAGAAAACTTTACTAAAATTTTTAAAAATCTGCATGGCAAAACATCTTTTTAAATAAGGTCAAAAGACCAAAGACACATCACAGAGAAAAGGCAAATATTCATAATATATAAAAAGAGAGCTCTTAAAAAATTTAGAAGTCTAAAATTCTAACATTTAAGTATAAAAATAGGCAAAATATGTGAGTAGAGAGATTAACAAAAATGCAATGGCCTTTAAACAATGAAAAGATCTACTATATAAAAAGAATACAAATTAAAACTATGATGAAATACCCTTTTCCACTTAATCAGATTAGCAAAAATCCAATATTTTGACATTCATGTGAAAAACAAAACTCACAACTTGCTCATGAGGATGCAAATCAGTACACCACCACCACAATACCTACCAAAAGTACCTATGCATTTACCCTTTGACCCAGCAATCTCACTTCTAGGAATCTACCCCAAAGATGCACTGTCGATCATTCATTAGGCTACTCATTCATCACTATATAAGGGGACTGGTTGAATAAACTATAAAAATGTACAATGCATAAAATGAGGGAGCTCTCTGTATACCAATATGCTGTCATCTCTAGGATATGTATTGAATGAAAAAAGCAAGCTGCAGAAGAATGTGTTTGTAAGAGGGGAGGTAATTTGCTTAAAGTTTCGGAGGAGTTTCAAAAATATATGTATTATAGTTTTACTTCCTTAATATAGATTGGATATAAATTACATATTTCTATAAGCAAAGCCATTTTTAGCATTTTATTTTGACATGATTTTATATTTACAGAGTATTTCAAAAATAACAGAGTCCCATATACGTTTCACCCAACTTTCTCTAATGTCAACATCTTACATAATCACGATACATTTATCAAAAATAAGAAATTAACATTGGAAAAATACATACTTTTAATTAAATGAGACTTCACTCAAATTTATCCAGTTTTTCCACTTATATCTTTTTTCCATTCCAGGATACCACATCATTTTATTATCATGTCTCCTTTGTTGTCTGATAGTTTCTTGGTCTTTCCTTGTCTTTCATGACCTTGACACTTTTGAAGAGTTAATAGTAAACTTAAATGCGTATTGCTAAGTGAAATAAGCCAATCTGAAAAGGCTACTGTATGATTTCAACTATACGACACTCCGGAAAGGGCAAAACTATTCATATAAAGGCAGTAAAGAGATCAGTGGCTGCCAGTGTTTAGGAGGAGGGAGGGATGCATGGGCAGAGCAGAGATTTTTAGGACAGTTAAATTATTCTGTATGATACTATAACGGTGGATATATGTTACTGTATATTTGTCAAAACCTATAGAATACAACACCAAGAATGAACTCTAATGTAAACTATGGACTTTGGGTGATAATGATGTGTCAATGTAGGTTTGATTGTAACAAATGTACCACTCTGATGGGGAATGTCATTCTAATAGGTATGTGGTGGCACCTCACTGTAGTTGTAATTTAATTTAATTATATTTCCCTATGACTAATGATGCTGACTATCTTTCCTGTGCTCATTTTCCATCTATGTATCTTCTTTGGTGAAGTCTGTTCAGATCTTTTGCCTGTTTTTTATTTGAGTTGTTTTCATACTGTTGAGTTTCAAGAGTTCTTTATATATTCTAGGTGGAAGTTCTTTATCAGATATGTAAATATGCAAATAGTTTCTCTATTTGCAGTGACTGGACTTTGCATTCTCTTACAGTGTCTTTTGCAGAGCAAAGGTTTTTAATTTTGATAAAGTCTAACATCAACTTTTCCTTTAAGGATCACACAGTCCTCAAACAGTAGGACTTCTGTTTTCTAATTGGGTTCTATTCTCCCATCCTGCAAAGTGGGAAGTGCTATCAGGTAAAAAGCTGGGATCCTGTGGAAGTCGCCTCATGTGCCTCCCTTATCTCAAGGGGAGCAGTCCTGCAAGGCCTACCATGGCTCACTCTCTGAAGCCATTAAACAGTTGTTTTACATATCTTGTCCAGCGTTTATGGTTGTTTTGGCAGAGACTTAGTTCCAAACAAGCTACTCTTTCATAGCCAAAACTTAAAAGTCTCCTTTGAATTTTTGAGGCAACACATATGATAAGAGAATTACAGCACAACCCCCTAGGATTTTAGAGAAAATTTATGTTTTTTTCTGCAGATAACTATTTTCCTTTTTAAAGAAATAGTTCCTGGCCCTGGTGCAGACTGAATGCTTAACCAGGGGAACACTAAATGAATGAGTCCCAAGCTGCCCCTTATGAATTGGGTATTAATTCAAATAAACAAAATATAAAATTTGATGTGTACAGAAACATCCCATCTTCAAGTGGAAGTCATAAATGTTATTATATTAGGCTCAAGTAGATCCTGGAGGTGTAAGTTGCATGAGCGGGTGGCTCAGACTTCCATGACACTCAGTCTTGTTGCATTGGCACCTTTCCATCAGCTCTAACATATGGCCTCACAGGAAACTCCCTATAACCAATTCTCCCAGGAAGAAAAACATTCAGGTTTGGTCTACAAATATTTCTTCAAAACATGCTAGGACCACCTGAAAGTGAACTGCCACTGCATTACAGCCCCATTCAGGAGGACCCTGAAGGATCTCCAACAAGGTAAATCCTGTCAGTGGGCAGAACCTTTGGCAGTGCATTTGGTTTTTTCGCCTTGTAAGTTCATCTCACCTGGAAAGTGAAATGGAAAGAGGTATATATCTATACCTGATTATGGGCAGTGGCTAATGGTCAGGTACTTGGAAAGAACAAGAAGAATAGTGAAAAGGAGTCTAGAAAACAATTAAGGTGGTAAACTTCTCAGAATGGGCACAAATTGTGAAGATATTTGTGTCCCATGTGACTATTTGCCGAAAGGAATCCACAGTAGAGAAAGTTCTCCAAAATCAGCAAGAATAGGCAAAACCAGGTAGACCAGATGGTCCATCCCATGGGTATCAGTCAGCCTCTTCCCAGCTACCCAGTGTTTGCTCAATAGATTTACGAAAAAAAGGCCACAGTGGCATGGATGGAGGTTGTGCTTGGGTTCATCAAAGCTGATCTGACTTAGCTTCTTCCAAGTACCCAATATGCCAGCAACAAAGACCAACGCTGAGCCCATGGTATGAACCATTGCCCAAGGAAAGTGGCCAGCTATGGGTGGCAGGTTGATTACACTGGATCCCTTCTATCAATGAGGGGGCAGTGGTTCGTCTTCATTGGAATAGAAACCTATTCTGGACATAAATTTGCCTTTCCTATAAAGAGTGCTTCTCCCAGTACCACCTCATATGGATTTAGTAAGTGCCTTATTCCTCATGATGATATCATATATGACCTTGCCTTGCTTTTGTAGCAAAAAAAAAAAAAAAGTAAAGCAGTAAGTCTCATGCCCATAGGATTTGTGGATCTTACAAATGTACCCCACTACTCAGAAGCAGGTAGCCTGGCAGAAGAGAGGAACAACCTATTGAAGACTGAGTTTGGGTGCTGTTTGGATGACAATACCTTGCAGGATTTGGGTGCTGCCTTACAAGTTGAAATACATACTCTTATCCAGCAACCAACATAAAGAGCAGGGTCCTGTCTGATCAGAATACACAGGTCTGGGGGCCAAGGTAGGAAGTGGGAGTGCCTTCTCTCACTACCCTGAAGGACTCCGTCCAAAATATGCACTTCCTTCTCCTCAACTGTAGATTCTGCTGGTTTATGCATTTTAGTTCCCAAGAGTGGAAGACATCTACCAGGAGTGGAGTCATCATTTCATTGAACTTGAAGCTGAGTTTGCCTTCTCAACTTTTGGGGCTTCCCATGCCACTGAATCAACAGGCAAATAAGAGTACAACCAATATATCCGATTAGAAAGAGAAAACCAGGTTGCACCTGTGTAATGGGAGGAAGGAGAAGTATTTCTGGAACCCAGACACTTCTCTGGAGTGCATATTAGTACTTCTGTGTGCAACAGCGAAAGTTAATGGAAACTAGCAAACCAATAAAGAAGGCTCTTTAATATTTAGTAGCCCCAGACCCCATCCTCTTGGTCATTACACAATGTTGCAGCAGCCAAAGCACCAGGCAGGGAATAGAGCCCTGGGTCTACATTCCAGCTCTGCCTCTAGCCACCAGTGCTGATATGGACGAGTTACTTCCTTTCCTGGACCTCATTTTCCTTCTCTTGGACTTCACATTCACCCTGTTGTCACTTCCTGTGTTCTCTGGTGTTGGGAGGATCAGAGGGGATAATGAGAATGAAGGCTACACCATTGGTGTAAAGTTCTGGGCCCTTGTAGGCTGTTGGTGATGATCTTCTCATTATCTGCAAAGCTCAGGGGCAAAGACTGCACCCTTCTCATTACAGTCTAGGAGATGCCAGGGAGTTGATCCCTGAGGGATGGTGGGCGTGGTGCCCCATGGAGCATCATCTCGAGGGGAAGTACCCAGGGGGCCTGTCTGAAAGAAGGAGCCTGAGCGTTTAATGGGCCACGGCTCAGCCCCTGACTGCCACCTCCACCCAGGCCTCGCGTGGAGAACCACAGGAGACACCAGTGTGCACCACGCTCAACAGGTGAACACTGCTAGAGATGGAGTGCCTAGAGATAGGCAGAGAAAGCTGGGATGGGGAGGCGGGGAGGCTAGGGACTGCACACCTGGGCCAGACATCAGGAAGGTGGATTGGGTGAGCACAGACGCAGGCACCCGGGATCCTGGTGCAGGCGTGGGCTGTGACCCTTTGGCCAGACATCCTGGCAGGCCTAAGCAATGGGACACACTCACAGATGGGATCCAAATCAGCTTGGCCAAGGCCTTCCCATGGAGAGACAAGACTGATGATGGCAGGAAACATTGGAAACATGAGCAAACTTTGAGCTCTTCCATGCTCCAGGCTCTGTGCAAGCATGTCTAAGCATGCTCCACATAAAGAAAACCCTATGGGGTCACAAAGGAGGGGGAAAGGCTCAGAGAGGGGAAACTGACTTGCTCGAGGTCACACTGCTGGAGGTAGGACAGAGACGGACTCCCGAGTCCACACACTTAGACGCCCAGGTGCCTGCGACGTGGCGAAGGTGAAGAGCCTGGTTTTGCAGCAGGCGCTCACTCAGTGGCAGAGCCCTCGCCCTGTCCGGGAGGGGCAGAACCATGTGACTCCTGTCTCTGCACCCCCTGCTCTGCCAGACTCAGAGGGGACACTCAGAAAATGGCTTGTTGAATTGGAAACCCCTTAGAAATTTTTCCTCCAACTCCTGACTGTACAGATGAGAAACCATGTCTCAGAGACCCGAAGCGACAGCCAGAGAGTGGCAGAGCCGGTCCAGCAGCCAGGACTCCAGGTTGACAGGCAGGGCTCAGTCCCTGGCAGCAGGTTGGCTCTGCTCTCACCCTGCCAGCCAGGGCCTTGGACAAGGGCCTGTCATTCTCTGACCCTCAGTTTCTTCATCAGTTGAAAGGGTGTAACCACTCACTGGCAGGGCTGTGTGATGAGGGGAGGGATGCGCATAGGGTGCAGCCTGGACGTTGGGGGATGGGTTTTTCTGTCCTTCTCTCTCCCCCACTGGCACTGTAACTAGATGCCAGGGAATGTCTGCTGGGGCAGGCTCTGTGCTCCAAGAAACTGCCCTTTTGGCCCTAAGCACGGGACTGCATGACATAGAGGTTGCATATCATTAAAAATAAAACAAGAATTTTAATCTGTAAAATCAGTGTAAGAAAGTCCTGCCAAATTCTAATATTTCCTATGATGGGCCAGTTGAGTGGTGCTTTGAAGTAGGAACAGTTAAATTCTTTCCTGAAGTATTTTTGGTGCCCGTGCTTTGCGGCGACCCGGACCTGGCCTGCCTGTTGGATGGTGCAGCACCGCCCGGCTGTGGAAAGTCACAGGCCACCACCTCTCCGCTGCGGTCTCAGCATCCGTGTCTCCATCTGCAAGGCAGAGGAGGGAGGAGGAGAGGCAACTGGCAACGGTGGCCTCTCAGGGCCCCTCTGGCTTTGACCCTCTGAGTTTCTGTCCCTCAAACCCCCAACTCAGCCTAACGTGGGGACCGTCGGCCATGACTGCCTCAGTGAGTGCAGTGCCCGGGAGAGTGCCATCTGCCTCCCTTTAGATTCCAAACCTATGACTTTGCCAAGTGAGGAAAACCTGGCCACCCAATCCGTTAGGATGGGGGCTTTGGCTAACTGAGGGATAACCCTGTCAATCTGGGACAAAGCAGGTTGACTCTTTTGCTAGGTCCTGGGACATAGTATCTATCGAAGAAGCATTCACGTTGCCAGACGCCAATATAGCACCTTCTATAGACAGATCCAGAGAAAAATTTGAAATTTAGTTTCATCTGATGTTATCAATTGAAAAAATGAAAATGGAAATGGATATCTTTGCCCTAGTATTTCCCCCTTGGAAACTTGAACTTCTGGATTCTCCAGGAAATATGAATAAAGAGCCCTGTCCTGGGAATCTAACACCTGGCACAGAGCTCCTGGCTCTACAGCCGGGTGGCTGTGGCACCTGGCAAAGCCCCCGCCCTTTCTGTACACAGTCTCAGGCCTAAGGGGGATAAACTGGTTGGACTTAAAAATATTTTAAGTTTTTCCAGTTTTTCCATTGGCAGGTTTATGCGTGAGCGATGTTTTGCTAGAAGAGTGGGAAATTAGAAGTGACTCTAGGAAAATAAGGGGAAACTGCTCATGGAATCATTAGAATTAGGGAGGCAGTAACACAAATGTCAACATGGGCTGGCCCCAGGAGTCACTTAGTCCAAGGGACAAGTCTACAGTACAGGGTGAGTCAGTACTTTCCTTCAGCTCAAAATCCCCAGGTCTGTGGGTTGAAACGCTCATTTCTGGGAGAGGTTCTTTTGCCTTGGAGGAACTACTGCGAGCAGAGCTCTGGTTCTTCCCTACCAACAATGCCTCCCAAGTCTTCCCAGGTCACCATGAGACCTTTTGACCAGCGATGAGGGAAGCCTCCCGGGTAGCAGGCATGCAGTGGTCACACAGGAACACCTGCTGAGCTGCAGCACCCAGTGGGGAGGAAGGTTCAATGGAGTTACACAGTCTGGCCTGGGTTCTCTGAGGTTGCCCGGTTGGGGAAGAAGCCATTATCAGCCATTACCCCAATCGGGAATGACTTTTCCCACCAGGAGCGTTTTCAGTGTCCCTCCCTTCACTATAACACGACAAAGAGCCCCACACTCAGAGACTGGATCAGCGTATTCAACTTAGCTGGGGACAACAGAACCACTGCACCAAGCAAACAAGAGAGGTAGGAGCCATTCCCTGGTTAGTAATTATCATGGGAAGACAGCATGTTGGAGAAAGCAGCCCTCCCTATTCAATGTGATGACAAAGATGTCATTTTTTAAAACTTAAAGCAAATGCTAAAAAAGAAAGAAACTTAGCATCCTGGTTTAAGAGATCTGATATGCCCACAAGGATCATGGAAAAAGAGGACCAGGAGAAGTTCTGCAAAGCACTTAACACAATTACAATTAAATAATTATGTGATTCAGTCCTTAACACCTTTCTTTATCACTAGAATTTCAGCCCCATCAACTTGTCTACTATATACTCAGCAAATAACACATGGTTTGCATACTGTAGGTACTTTTTACATACTTCACCTTAAAAGGAAAGAGGGAGTTCTGGGACAGGATGAAAAATTTGGGAATAGATGGAGCCCATCATTTAGAGTTGGTTGTAGATAAATGTGGCTACATTCATTTTACAGTGATCATTATGTAATTCTCATTCCAGAATCTCTGGTTGTTCTGGTCTCCAGATGGGCCAGGTTCCCAGATGTTCCCAGGTTCTGAACATCCAGCTTTGACCCACCATGGGAACCACAGGTTGTAATGGATCAGTGGACTCCTCCACCATCTTCTACCTCATGGGCATCCCCTCTCTGCCCAAATCCCTTTTCCTTCCTATCTTCTTTGTCTTTCTCCTCCTCTATCTGCTCATCCTGGTGGGTAATGCCCTGATCCTGGTGGCTGTGGTGGCAGAGCCCAGCCTCCACAAGCCCATGTACTTCTTCCTGATAAACCTCTCCACCTTGGACATCCTTTTCACCACAACTACTGTCCCCAAGATGCTGTCCCTATTCCTGCTGGAAGACCGCTTCATCAGCTTCCCTGCCTGCTTCCTACAGATGTACCTGTTCCACAGCTTCTCCTGTTCTGAAGCCTTCATCCTGGTGGTCATGGCCTACGATCGCTATGTGGCTATCTGCCGCCCACTGCACTACCCTGTACTCATGACCCCACAGACCAATGCTATGCTGGCGGCCAGTGCCTGGCTCACCGCCCTCCTCCTGCCCATCCCAGCAGTAGTACAGACCTCCCACATGGCATTTGGTCTTGTGGCCCAGGTCTACCACTGCTTCTGTGACCACTTGGCTGTGGTCCAGGCTTCCTGCTCTGATACCAGCCCCCAGACCTTCATGGGCTTCTGCATCGCCATGGTGGTGTCTTTCCTCCCCCTTCTCCTGGTGCTCCTCTCCTATGCCCACATCCTGGCCTCGGTGCTTCACATCAGCTCTCAAGAAGGACGGTCCAAAGCCTTCTCCACCTGTAGCTCCCACCTCCTGGTGGTGGGCACCTATTACTCATCCATTGCCATTGCCTATGTGGCCTACAGGGCTGACCTGCCCCTCGACTTCCACATCATGGGTAATGTGGTATATGCCATTCTCACACCTGTTCTCAACCCTCTTATCTACACGCTGAGGAACAAGGATGTCAAAGCAGCCATCACCAAGATGACATGCTCCCAGGAACCAAAGAATGCTGGGAAACCCTGATTCAAAGGGGTAACTTGATCTTCTCTCAGAAACATCAACATGGAAATGTGGGAAATTCAGGCAGCCAGGTAGTTAGAACAATAGTTCTCAAAATATAGTCTTAGATATTCCTCCACTGTAATCAAATAATGATATCTTTTCTTAATTCATAGACGAATTGAATAGGATTTTTTGATGTAATTTTTAAGCTATGAATCCCAAATTTCACAAGACCATGAGTACAGTTGATGTCACATTGCCATTAATTCAAATAATTTTGATTCTCAGAGACTCCAAGGAATTGACTAGCAAGAAATTCAGTCTTTTCCCTTGGATGTCTTTTTTCCAATATTTCTGAAAATCTCTAGTATTGCTTGCACATAGATACGAATCATTCTTGCCCTTTTTTGTTGAAATAGCAGCTTAGATAGAAATACCCATCAAAGGAAACACTCTGAAGCTACCACTGTCTCAATCCCTGTTGCTTGAAAACTCACTCATCCACCACCAATATCCAATGCCAGCTGCATAGGCAATTTGCCTCTCTGCTCTCTAGACTCTCATGGTGTCCAAAAGCAGAGCAGGCCCCTCATCAGCTTATATTCAGGCAAGGGGTGTCCCTTAGCACACCCATTTGGGCAAAAAACATTATAGTTCTTTTAGTTCTCAGCACAGTATAGCTTCCCTGTCCATGATCCTGAGTGGCTAACTAGACAAGTTTCTCCTTATCAGAAGTATACTGTTCCCACTGCCACCACTCTCTCAAAATATAATCCTAAAGTGTTCCTCTTTGTGGCCTCAGTGGCCAACTCAGGCTCCATACTCCTTTCTACTATGGCATGTTTTCTCTTGAAGACCTGTCGGGTTTGTCCAGTTAGTGATATACAGAACAGTGAAAAGTATTTGGGAGGAGCCCAGGTGACAGATATCCTCATCTATGGCTCTTCACAGATAGTCCCATTCCCATTTCTAGGGTCCCAGTTTTTGACAACCAAGACATTAACTTCAACCATTTTTCCATTGCATAAAACCCCATGTATTAACAGATGGGAACTCCACGGATGATGCAGTTCAACAAAAGATATGATTAGTTTCTGGACTCAGTGTTCAGCAATCCCAGAGGCCCTGCTATAGTCAAAAAGGGCTTGCTGAAGCAGAGAAAGGCTCCGAGTTTCCTTGTTTACTGCCCCTGGACAACATGGATTGGGACTCATGCTCTTTTACCTAAATATTTGCGGTACATCCATTCCTCACTCCTTGAAGTTGAGATCTAGACCTCAGTGGAACCACAATCCTCAAGGTCTAAAGGAGATAGTTTAATAAATTTCCTTGCCCATGAGTTCCATGAGCTATTAGAATTTAACCTAAGGATGTGGAGAGGCACTTTTGTTCTGTCTACTCCACTATCATCCAATGAACAACTCCAAAAGTACCCTCATGTCGCTACTGAAGTTCTGTTTGGGGCTTCTGTGTTCAGAACTTCCTTTCTGGTATCAATGTTAGTTTCAGGTCAGGGCTTTTGGTTTGCTGTGTCCCCACATCATGTCATCCTTTCATCTTCATCTTCCCTTCTAGATGGGACAAAGAATTAATCATATGAAAAGTGAATGCAATAATATGGAATTCCAGGCTAGTTCTACCCCCACTCACTATTTTCTTGTGACTCCTCCTTCTCAACATTTATCATCAGTAGACATGAAATAATAGCAACAATAACGTTTTTTTTACTTGTAGCTACACCTGCTAATTGGCAGTCTCTGTATTTCCCAATTTTAAAAAATAGCTTCAACTTTTGTGCAAGGGCACTATCAAGAGAGTGAAAAAACAATACACAGAATGGGAGAAAATATTTGCCAATCACATATCCAATAAGGAATTAATATACAGAATATGTAAAGAACTACAACTCAACAACAAAACCAGTCCAATTCAAAAATGTACAAAGGATTTGAACAGACATTTCTCCAAAGAAGATATACAAATGGCCAATAAGCACATTAAAAGATGCTCAACATCATTAGCCATTAGAGAAATGCAAATCAAAACCACAATGAAATACCACCTCAAACCCATTAAGATGGCTACTATTTAAAACAAAACAACAGAAAATAACAAGTGTTGTTGAGGATGTGGAGAAATTGGAACTCCTGTGCATTGTCACTGGGAATGCAAAATGGTGCAGCCACTGTGGAAAACAATATGATGATTCCTCAAATTAAACATAGATTGACCACGTGACCCAGTAATTCCACCTCTGGGTACATAAAGCAGGGTCCTGAAGAGATATTTATATATCTATGTTCATGGCATCATTATTCACAAATAGTCAAGATGTGGAAACAACCTAAATGTCTAATGACAGACGAATTTTGGGTAAACAAAATGTGGTGTACACATACAATGGAATATTATTCAGCCTTAAAAAGGAATGAAACTCTTATACATGTGACAATGTGGATGAACCTTGAGGACACTGTGCTAAAGGAAATAAGCCAGACACAAAAGGACAAATATTGTATGATTTCACTTCTATGAGGTACCCAGAATAGTCAAATTCATAGAGACATAAAGTAGTATGGTAGTTATGAGGCACTGGGAAAGGAAGAATGGGAAGTTATTGGTTTAGGGGCACAGAGTTTCTGGATGATGACAAGGTTCTGGGAATGGACAGTGGTGATGCTTGGACAACACTGTGAATGTACTTAGTGCCATTGAACTGCACACTTAACAACAGTTAAATGGTAAATTTTATGTTATGTATGTTTTACCATGATTTGTAAAAATTTTAAATAGTTTCAAACCCGGCCATAGATCACACAGGTCACTGGCAGACTAGGTGTTGGCTGCCTTTTGTCAGATGCCCAGCTCTGGACCAACTAGCTGTGGCCAGAGGGAAATGTGTGGAGCTCAATCACATGATTTAACACGGACACTTAACAATCAGTGGAAGGGGCTCGGAGTGGGGTGGAGGGAATTAGGGAGATGTAAGTTAAAGTTGTGGTCCCCAACCCCTGACCCTGGCCACGGCCTGGTACCGGTCCATGGCCTGTTAGAAACTGGGCCACTTACTACCACCTGAGCTCTGCCTCCACCCCCACCCTCCATCCATGGAAAAACTGTCTTTCATGAAACCAGTCCCTGGTGCCAAAAAGATTGGGGACTGCTGGGTTAAAGGATACAAAATTTCAGTTAGGAGGAATAAGTTCAAGAGACTGACTGTACAACATGGTGACCATAGTTATTAACAATGTATTGTATACTTGAAAATTACTAAAAGAATAGATTTTAAGTATTCTCACTACAAAAAAATAAGTATTTAAGGTAATGCATATATTAATGAGCTCAATTTAGCTATTCCACAATGTATACATATTTCAAAACATTATGTTGTACATGATAAATATATACAATTTATATCTGTTGATTAAAATTAATTACCTATACAAAGAAAGACGCACTGGAGCAGCTTGTCTTCAAAAGAAGGGTGAGAGGGCAGGCATTTGAAGCCCTGTACTCTTGGGGGAGTCTTTTCACACCTGTGAATTCCAGGTGGCGGTTGTGAAGGTTTGAGTAAGACCAGGTGATTTCACCTCTGTACCATCTCTAGACGGCCCTGAAGCCTCTCCGGCCCCATCTCCCGAGCCCTGATGCAGGTGCCACCACCTGCTCTCTCCTCAACGGTCTGTCTGCCCATGTGCCTGCCCCCCAGTCCATAAAGCGGCCAGAGCAGGCTTTCTGACGTACAGACCTGGTCACGCTACCACTCTCTGCAAGACCGAAGGGCTCTCTCTGATGTGACCCTAAGTGACCTCTTTGGCTTCAGGTCGCCATTGCGTCTCTCACAGCAATTCTGAACTCCTTTCAGTTTCCCAAAATATACCAAGTTCTCTCTTTTTTCTTTCTTTCCTTCAAAATTTCAACTGCATCCAAGTTCTCATTCTCACCAATAACAATGTCTTCTCTCTGCCTGAGGCACTCTTCCTCCTTGCCCATCTCATCTGCCTAAATCTTTTTTGGGCTTCTTCTGGAATATTACCTTCTCTGGGGAGCTTGCCTGGCATCTCAGCCTGCAGTGTGAGCTAGGTGCCATTCTTACGTGCACTTTCTAATTCCCCTATCATGTGTGTGTGTGGTTTTTTTTTTTTTTTTGACCCTAGGAGAAGAGAGCTCAGAGCACAGTGTACTTCTTAGCCTGTGCAGGCCCCTTGCTCAGTTTACTTACTGTCCCCTTCTAATCCCCTCCAACTTAAGCACTCTAATGTGCTGAATATATGTCCATAAATATGTGTATGTTTGTAAAGTATGTAGTGTTTTGTGCATGTATGTATACTTTTAACATATATAAAAGATTGTTTCATGTCTCAATCTATTTCTTACATTTTTTCATTTAATTCTATTTTTTAGATCTATGTATGTTGCTATTTATATATCTAACTTCATTGGTTCTAACTGATGCGTAATATCCCATAGTATTATTTTATCACATTTTACTTTTCTCCAAGTGGAGGACACCTAAATTGCCTTCAACTCTTTGCTACCACTATGTCTTGTTGAATGTCTTTGTGTATGTCCCTTTATGAACCCATAGAGGATTTTCCCTGGAATATGTACCAAGAAGTAAAATAGATTAGTCATAGGGTTTGCATAACCTTTAGCTAAATACAGTCCATCCTCATTGTTCACAGATTGCAAATTTGCTGACTTGCTAACCCTAATATCAATGCTCACGGAGCTTTCTAGAACATGCACAGAGTGGCCAAAAATCCGATTCACTCTATAAACACGTTCCCAGCTGAAGTTGAACAAGACAACGTTCTGCCTTCATGTTTCAGCTCTCATACTACAAACACGTGCCTTTCAGTGGTCTATTTAGAGCCGTATTTTCCTCATTTTTGTGGTTTTTCTTGGCAATTTCATTGCTTAAAATGTCCCTAGGCATAGTGGTGAAATGGTGTCTAGTGTTCGTAATGCAATGAGGCTTATGGAGAAAATAACGTGTGTGTTCGGGCATGAGTTATAGTGCTGTTGGCCGTGAGTTCAATGTCAATGAATCAACAATATATAATAAACATGACGTTTTTAAACAGAAACACACATAAAACAAGGTTATATTTTGTTTGGTTGGACGAAAATGTTGTAACCAGAGGCTTGCAGGAAGCTAACCCTGTATTTCCCCTAGAGCAATGT